AACGCAATTTTAAAATGTTATGTTGTTTATTTAACTTTTACAGTTGATAATTAATTAGTTTATTTAACGAAAAAGACTGAAATTGGAAAAAAATCATCCAAGAGACGAAAAGTAGGTCCTAACCTTCAATTTTGTTTTATTTGTACTGAAAAGACGTGAATATTTGGAAATGGTACAATTGGTCTTGGCAAGATATTAATATAAAAACTGTAGACACGGCTAAAGTTCATGCGAAAATTTCTATGGGAAACTTAAATTATAAATGTCTTATAGCACTTACGTAACTTATCATCATCATCGCGCTGCCTATCCACTTAATGGATGTTGGCGACCACACGCTGAAATTGGTCTCTATCTCTTGCCGCGTTGACCAGTTCCCCAATTGTTTTTAGACCTGTCCATTGTCTAATGTTCGTTGTCCATGACATCTGTTTCCTTCCTATTCCTCTCTTGCCATCTATTTTACCCTCTAATATGAGTTGTAACAGCTGATACCTATCATGTCTAAAAATGTGTCCGAGGTAGGCCGTTTTCCTGCGTTTTACGGCTGTAAGTAGTTCTCTGTTCTTATGAACTCTTCTTAGTACTTCGTCGTTAGTTATTCTGTCCGTCCACGGGACTCTCAGAAGACGTCGGTAGGTCCACATTTCGAAGGCTTCCACTCTGTTGATCAGTTTTGCATTCACAGTCCATGCCTCCACTCCGTACAAAAGTACCGACCAAACATAGCATTTTGCATATCGGACTCGAAGAGACAGGTGCAGGTCTCGATTTCTAAGGATTTTTTCATATCTCATGAATGCCGCACGTGCCATCTCTGTTCTGCACCTAATCTCTTTTTCCGAGTTCCATCCTGCATGCAGCCAACATCCTAAGTATTTGAACTTGTTACTCGTTCTATATTTCGGTTTTCTATCTGAATTGTGGCATCTGTATACATTGGTTTTTTCCTACTGATTATCATAAATTTGGTTTTGTCGGCGTTAATGTTTATCCCGTATTCGTTGCTGCTGCCACATAACCTAGTACACATTCTCTGTAGTTCCTCAACATCATTGGCAATGAGGACAGTGTCATCCGCATATCGGATATTCGAAATTGGTATTCCGTTCACTTTCACTCCCAACTCTTGTTCTTCAAAAGCTTCGTTGAATATCGCTTCGGAGTATAAATTAAAAAGCAATGGAGACAGGACGCATCCCTGTCTAACTCCTCTCCGGATATCAATATCTTCAGTAATAATGTTTTGTATGGTAATATTAGCTGTTTGACCCCAGTACAATCTCTCGATACACCTTATGTCCTTGTCGTCGACGTCGGTTTTTCTCAAAATCTGCATGACTTTTGAATGCTCTACACGATCGAAAGCTTTTTCATAGTCGACGAAACATAGAAATATGTTCTTATTAACATCTAGACAGTTTTGTATTAAGACTTGGAGTCCGAAAAGCGCCTCGCGTGTTCCCATACCTGATTTGAATCCAAACTGGCTAGGGCCGATAATTTTCTCGCATCTGTGCTGTATTCTCCTGTGTATTATTTTGAGGAAAATTTTTAAGGAGTGGTTCATCAGACTTATGAGTCTATGATCTTTGCACTTTCGGGCGTTGCTTTTCTTGGGTAGGGGTATAAAAGTTGATCTTAACCAGCTTCGGGGAAAGTGTCCTGTATTGTAGATATAATTGAATATTTTGAGCAAGACGTCGATATTGTCGTCATCTATCAGTTTCAAAACCTCTCCTGGTATACCATCTGGTCCTGTAGTCTTATGATCTTTTGCTTCCATAACCACTTTCTTTATTTCTTCCCTCAATATAGGTGGCCCTGATAATGATTCGCTTAACTGGTTGTCTTTTAGGCCTTCACGAGAATCATCGGCAAATAAATCTGTGATATATTCTTCCCACAGCTGTTTCTTTTCATTTGCTTCTATTATGAATTTGTTTGTGTCATCGGTATATATTCCTGGAGGTCGTTTTTTATACATTCCAGATGCTTCTTTCATCTTTTTGTGTTCTTCACGCGTATTGTGTATTTGTTGCAAGTATTCAATTTCCTTACACTCCCCCTCCAGCCATTTCCTTTTAGCCTTTCGTAACTTATAGCACGTAGTATTTAAATTGTCTGATATATTGAATAATATTTTTCTGTGTATTTGTTTTTGGGTACAAACAACACCAATACATTCACTGACATGCCCGAAATGTCGAGAAAAAGTTTCGGATATTTTCGCTATAGGTTTTCGAAAGACAAAAGAATTTAAAATTTTATGTGTATCGAATATTTGAAGATTGCAAAGTAAGAATAAGATCATTATCCCTATTCAAGTTGTTTTTCCAACGGTTATTATTGTAATTCTTATTAATATTATTATCTTGGAATTGTCCAGTAAAAACGCTTTTATAATGATAACCACGACCACGTAAAAACGAAGTAAAATAATGATAATTAACGTATTTTTAATTTGCAAACCTCAGAATATTATTAGGTTGCACGGAAAACATATTTTTTGTGACGGTTGTTTTTAGGGAAAACATCCTTTTTTTTTCATCATTTCATTTAATTAATACGGTTTTCTAAGTGATAATATTTAAAATAAATATCTAAAATCACCAAACGCGTTGTTGTGTTGGCAAAAACCATACTAAGTTTTCTTTTTATTATTTACTGACGCTGACATTTATTCAGTTGTCTAGGAAAGCTAAAATAAATCGCAAAATAGTAACAATAGGTGTGTGATATAGCTGATAAAAGTTGTAGTTTTTTGAAAAGGAAAAAAAATTGAAAATTTATAAATATATGGTGTGCCATTCGGTAAAATAGGGATTTTTCATTTTAAAATGATCCAATGTATGGGTTTATTCCGAGCATCCTGTAGTATTTCATTGAAGTTCCGTTGCATCTCAGCATTTTCGAGTAACGCTAATATCAAATAATAATAAATAAATTTTTCGCCAGTTTGATAACTAGTATTTTTATAGGATAATAAAAATATTGGAAAAACTATCGGGTTTATGGCTATTAATAAAAAAAAGTTCAGGTATTTTAAAAGGAACCCATAACAAATTTTTTTTTTGGGTCAGTCTTTACCATTTTCTCAATTTTTGATATGATGAGATAATGAACTTCAACATTGTCTTACCCTGTACAGGGAAATTTATTACATTTTGAAGATTAATTTTGAAAGATAGAAAAAAAGTGTAAATACGAAAGTATGGAGATTCTTCCTTCATTATTAACTGGCAAAGAATTTATTTATTGTTATTCGATATTAACGTTATTCGAAAATGGTAATATTCAACGGAATATCAATGAAATCCTACAGAAATATAACCCTGTACGAGAGTGCGACGGCTACGCGATTATAAAATGAAATGTTATGGTCTGTTCATAGATATAAGAAAGTGACTAATTGCTTTTGAATAGGATTATATAGGGTGGTCATTAACATACAATGCAACAAGATTATTACCTAAAGTTTCGGAATTTAAATTCAGGTAAAATTGTGGTCCGTAATAGAAAATAATTTTATACCTACCTGTGTTTAATATTCTTTGGTTTGGTATACTACCTAGGGTAAGTTTATTAGTAATCGTTCTTATTTCGTGTGTAATACAGCGTGTGTTGAATCGTGTGCGAATTATGCATATATGTGCGACTCTAGTGTATCTTAGGAGATGCTCCAGCCCAAATGTGGAAAACACTATTCTATTAAGACTAACAATGTTTATTTGACTCTCATTGAACGTGGTGCCAGCAAGCAAGCATCTTTAGAAGAAACGGCCACATTGACGAAAATTCCAACATCAACTATAAGGAAAATTGTGAATAATCCCATTTCAGCGAGGAAAAGAAGAAGCGATGCTCACATTTTATTGAGTGTAGATGAAAGGGATTAAGATATAATACGGAGTAAAATTTACCAGTTTTTACCAACACATGGGTTTTAGATTTAAAAAAATTGACAAAAGGCAAGTTTTAATGGAATCTTTTAGAATTCGGAAATGGCGACTGGAATATCTAGAAAAAAATAGGATTTACAGAGGACAACAAAGGCCAAATATTTACTTGGATGAAACCTGGTTCGGCACTTATGATACCCCGGAAAAGGGTTGGGTTGACTCAACTGATAAGTGTAAAACAAAAGCGCCATCAAAAAGAGGTAAAAGAATAACTATTTCGCATGCTGGCTGTAAAGAAGGTTGGGTTGCAAATGGACTTTCTCTGTCTGCGAAAAATATTTATTTGAAAGTTGGTTTAAAAAAAAAACGATTTTCAGACATTTCTTCTAATAGCGCCATTGTAATGGACAATGCAAGTTATCACAGTAGACTAAAAGTTGACTAAAACCCCTTCCTCATGTGACACAAAAGCAACAATCCAAAACTACATGTATAATAACGACATTTTATTTTCACGAAGATTATACCAAAAAGCAATTCATTGAGGTTCTACAAAGCTTGAACCTACAAAAGGAATACGTCTGTGATAATAATGCAAAAAATCTATGGCATACATTTTTATATTTATTTGTATATTTAATCCCATCGAACATGTTTGGCACCAACTGAAATCTGCCATTCGTCGTAACAATGTTGTTCCTCGTGTTAACTCCAACGTCCTCAAACTTATAGAAACCGAAGTTTTTAATATCCCTCCACAAAGTTGGGTAAATTCTGTTAAACATATAGACAAAATAGAACAATCGTATATCCATATTGCAAACAATATCGAACAAATAATAATTAGAACAGGCGATGATAGCGTTAGTGATACTGATATATTATGTGAATAATTTTAAGTAATTTAAGTAGGTAATAAAAATAATTTGTAATTTTATTTTAGATTTAGACATAAATACATACATAAATAGATAAATATTGTTTAGTATCTTTCCTAACAAAATTTTCTTTCTTTCTTTCTTATATCTATGAACAGACTTTACCTGTAAATTTTCTATAAACAAAAAAAAACAGCGCCGAAAAAATCGCGTGCCCTGAAACCGCCCCCACCGTGTTTCGGATAAAAACGGGCGCCGGCGGGGACGAGGACGTAGTTACCCGTAGCCTCGTGAAACTTAAAAATGCCGCCGTGGGCCGCCGAATCGATACGAAGCTTCGCGGTCACGTGGCGCGCCGTCGCCGACCAATCGCGACAGAAGACGGGCGACCGTCGGACCGATCGTCGCCTCGCACGCGTCAGTTTGAAATGAACCGTCACGGAGTCGAGTCGACGCCGCTCTGACGTAATCCGTTACGCGCGCAATGTGTGCCGAACAGTGAACGAACATGATGGAAGATCCTGCCCAAGTGCTTTTCACGGAATTACCGGTACCGTTGTTATCGACCGCCGCGTTACTACGTCACCATCACCACACGGCTACGCGTTTCCAGCCTTACCACAGACTCCACCAGCCTCAGCATTTTCACACCGCCGTGCACGAGTACCGACACCCGTTGCAACGCGCGTTCGAAGATGACGCCGCCCAAGTGACCGACGTAGACTACGGTAAAACTCACATTTCGTGCTTGTACCCGGAGATCCTCGCCATAATATTCGGCCACCTCGACGTCAGGGACAAGGGCAGAGCCGCCCAAGTGTGTACTTCGTGGAGGGACGCGGCGTACCGCAAATCCGTGTGGCGCGGCGTGGAGGCGAAGCTGCACCTTCGCAAGGCGAATCCTTCGTTGTTCGCGTCGCTCGTCAAACGCGGCATCAAACGGGTGCAGGTGCTGTCTTTGCGAAGGTCGCTGCGTGACGTCATCCAAGGCATTCCTAACCTAGAATCGTTAAACTTGAGCGGATGTTACAACGTGGGCGACATAGGGATATCGCACGCGTTCACCGCCCAAACCCCCTCGATAACCGAGCTGAACCTCAGCCTGTGCAAGCAGGTGACGGACACGTCGCTCAGCAAGATCGCCCAGCACTTGAAGAACGTGGAAGTGCTCGAGCTGGGCGGCTGCTGCAACATCACCAACACCGGGCTCGTGATGATCGCGTGGGGCTTGAAGAAACTCAAGAGACTGAACCTGCGTTCGTGCTGGCACATCAGCGACCAAGGCATCGGCCATTTGGCGTTCGGGAACCTATCACTCGAGTATTTGGGTCTGCAGGACTGCCAGAGGTTGTCGGACGAGGCGTTGAAACACGCTACCGGACTGACGTCGCTCAAATCGATCAACCTTAGTTTTTGTATCAGCATAACGGACAGCGGGCTGAAACATTTGGCGAAAATGTCGAGTTTGCGGGAGTTGAACCTACGTTCGTGCGATAATATTTCGGACATCGGCATGGCGTATTTGGCGGAAGGCGGATCGCGCGTCTCCTCGCTGGACGTGTCGTTTTGCGACAAGATCGGCGACCAGGCGCTGGTGCACATCTCCCAGGGACTGTTTAATTTGAAAAGTTTGTCGCTGAGTGCGTGTCAGATATCGGACGAGGGACTCGCGAAGATAGCGAACACGATACACGACCTCGAAACGCTGAACATCGGACAGTGTTCGAGGGTGACGGACAAGGGACTCGCTATCGTCGCGGAGTCCCTCACCAGGCTCAAGTGTATCGACCTGTACGGGTGCACGAGGATCACCACCGCCGGCCTGGAGAAGATCATGAAACTGCCGCAGCTCGGCGTGCTGAATTTGGGCCTGTGGCACGTCAGGTGAAAACTGCTCTAGGATAAGTAGGGGTTTTTTTCGGACGCCCGGCCGAACGGGAAATCGCCTAGGAATTCCGAGATATTTCTGAGATATTAGTCGGGCAGTTTCGGAAATTTACTCGGGAGCGCCATGAAAATACCGAACCGTTACGGTAAATTTTAAACGAAAGTCTAAAAATGTAAATTTTACAGGAAGCGAAGATAAATCAGTGGTTTTTAGTTTTAAATCGTGCAAACGAAATCTTGGTTTTGCATTAGGCATTACATAAAATTGGTCGGCCAGATGTCACCCAGTCATATGATTTCACAGTGTGAGATTTCATCGATTTCACGGATTCTACAAAAATTTCGCAAATTTGTAAATGGTTCGTGGATGATTTTGTTGCTCCATTGTAATTACAAAAGTATTGAGTGGGAATAATATATAAAATATAAGCTTCAAACTTTGTTCGAAAAAGTGAGAAAGTTATTCAACTTTCAATCAATTCAAGCTTTAGAATTCAATAAAAGATTGTTCGAACTTTGTATTGTGCACAAAGTAAGGAGCACTGTAAGCCGCTATTTAAAAAAAAACAGTTTTTATCTACGAGTGCATAATGAATAAAAAGTAGTCGCGTAAACAAAACTCAATTATTTGATTGGTATTAAACTGACTTGACGAATTTTAAAATGCTATAATTATATGTTTACTTCAAAAAGTCATACTGACAACTTTAAATGTATTGTTTATACATGTTTGGTCAATAAATTATTCAATATAAACTTTATGAATTCCATAAATTTTCAAAACGGATATAAAAATAATACTTTTGAAATTATTTGTGAATTTTTCGCTTTTTTCTGAACTTCAATTGAGTAATTACACAGAATTTCGGTAATTCTCAATTCAAATGGAAAAAAACAGAAAATATTTTTCACTTATGTTCAATTAAACAAACGAATGCAGGAATATATTGCAAAAAATAGTGGATTTTTTGAAAATTTTCTTTTTTATTACTTAAAAATGTTTTAACTAATAGAAATTTCACAGATCTCACGGATTTTACACATCTGGTACACAACCATATTATTTCACAGCTTTCACTTAACTTATTTGCATTCCGTCATAATTAAAAAAATATCAATTAAAAATTTTACATAAAAAATACATTCGAAACCTTATCTGAAAAACTGAGAAAGGGTTTCAGTCTGAGTGTTAAATTAAGGAATATAAATTTTATAAATGAGTAAAATATTTTCTATTTTTTTTTTCACCTTTTCTTAAAAAAAAATTAAATGAAACATATCAAACAATATACATAGTTCGTTTCATTTTATAGTACTTACTCTTGTAGTTGGCATAGTATGATTTCACAAAAGACAAATGTTTCACATATTTCACAGAGCTGATACACAAATATTTCACGGGTGATTTACTCCTCGGACAAATGTATTTGAAAAAAAAAAGGCATCACCGTAAATAGTAGTTAACAAAAATTTAAGACATTTAGGTTTTAACGAAATTTCCTGAATCTTTGTTTTCTGTGAGTTATTAAGTATTTCTAAAGTTTTTTTAGTTGTGAACGCTTTTCGTTAATCTATCTTTAAATAATAGAGAATGGTGTAAACCTTTTTAAGATAATATCCCTTCAAAGATAAACAATTTTCATTCTACTATTTTAAATACTTCATAATAGCTCGTAGCTGACATAACGAAGTGAGCTCTAGTTCATGTTTTGTGTTTTGAGATTATTCTTTTAATTAAGAATTCATCGTCCGTCTTTGTGAAATTGTTTTCTTTTTCTATTTTCTTATGTATAAATCAAAATTATTAACAGATAAGAAACATTTTAATAGTAAATTTTCCCATATATGCACTAGATTTATAGATACTCATCCTATAACAAATGTTATTTCACACCGACCAAAATTTCCACTTTTTGAGGCAGTATTTTTTTCGAAATATCTCACAAATGTTCTAGGACAACTAGTTAAATCTGTGGAGGTCGCTGTTTCGAAACATAATGGCTTAAAATATATTTTTACATCTGGGAAATCTTATAGTTGCGTAAAATCTGGTGTACTAATTTTGGTATTTGGATGTTATAAGTACGGACCTGATATTTTATATTTTCCAAAATCTCGAAGATAATAAATTCTTTCAAATTAACCATTATAGAACCAAAAAGGGGTAAAAATTTTGCAAAAAAATTAGGTCCGCATTTTATAAATGCCATAACTTTTCAAAACGGGTATAAAAAATGATATTTTTGAAATTTTATTTGTAAATTTTTTACTGTTTTCTCAACTTTAATTGAGCAATTTCACAGAGAGGGCCCACGTTTAACTCACAAAATTTCGGTAATTCTCAATTGAATGTCATTTTTTTCATTCTGTAAGTAATGAAGTAATGAACAAAAAAAGCAAAAAAAATTTTTTTACACGTCCGATAATGTAAAAAATACAGGAAAAATGTAAAACTATTTTTTAAAAATGAAACTAAGTTTCCATTCCTTGAGAAAGAAGACAATTCAAGTTACTGGGCCGGTTTCATCAAAAATAGGTGACATTCTTCTTTGATCTGCTTTTTTTCATTCTGTCAGTAATGAAGTAATGAAAAAAAAATTGCAAAAAAACTTTTTATTTGGGACACCAATCTAAAAACCTATTAAATTTTTTTGCGAAAACCAAGTTTATTTTGTTTTTACGCTTATGACCATATTTATTTTTCTTAGGGTACGAGATCAACTTTGAAGCAATGTTTTTGTATTTTTTGGAAAACTTCCCGGTATTTCACAGATATCTCGGAAAAATATTTCCAAAATGGGAAAGTTCAGCGTACACCTTTTTTTCTGCGATTTGCCCTTCGGTCGGACCATTCGAATTTCGCAATTTCTCTTTTTCTTTTAAAAACATTTCCCCGCGATTCAAACTATTCAGTTTATTTTCGTGAAAAATAGTAACATAGCTCGGGCAATTCGTAGCAGTAAATATTGTTACTTTCGCGGACATTTTTTTTTCGTTTTTGCTTTTAGTAATTATAAATTCTGGTTATTTGTGCATGTTTGCCAAACCAAATTAAAATTAATTGATTTGAAAGTGTTATTTTTTAGATAATTTTATGGATTTAGCCTAAAGCCAGAGCTTTCAAAAATCTTATAAGAAATAACAATTTTTTTATTTGGTAGAATAATATAAGCAACGTTTTTTTTTTTATTGAAAACATTTTAATAAATAATTATAAACTTTTAGGCAGCTTTGTAATATCTAGAAAAAGCTCCATTCACATGGAAATACACTGCTCGAAAAAAATCAGCTGCCATAATTTTTGGGGGAGAAAACTGGGTAACCAAGGCATAGCCGATATATTTTTTTAATTAGTTCACTTTTGCGGTGGCTTGAATTTTTTTTTTTTTGCGAAATTCGTTTTGTCCGACCACGGGTGATCGAAATTGATTTTTGTAATGACAGCGTGCCGTTTTGAGATCGACTGTCATTGGTGCGCGTGCAATCGATAATTTTTATCTCGCAGGACAAGACGAAAAACGGAAAATGTCATTAGTTTTAAGGCACACGGTTGTAAGCGATAGCATCGACGCGATTTTAAACGGCAACGCCCAGAGCTGTGATAGTAAAAAAAAAAACGAATGACGTAATTTGATCGACTACATATATATATACGGTACGATTAATTATACGACTTTAGTATATAGGTAAATCAATAACGTATCCTGTATAATCTGAACCAAAAACGATGATCCTGTGACCAAGCTGGCGGCGTTGTATCGATCGCCCCCCGTATATACTTGGAGGCTTTGATTAGCGACATAAATTATTATACGTTCGGTGGCTTTGGGTGGTTTTGGTTAGTTGTTTTTGATTTATTTCCGTTGAGACGTCACAATCCTTGCCATTGATTTCATTTCATTTCATTCGACGATATTACAGTAATAAAATTTATTAAAATAACAAAATAGAATGAAAAAACTAGATACCGTGCGTTCAATTTATCTTGATAACATTCTAATTGGCTGTAACTTTTTTGTATTTAGGGATACCAAGGTAAACAAAAAAACACAATGTAAGGTTAGTAGCCAAGTGACACGTAAAACAAAACACTATCAACTTTCTGACATATAAGCCTACATCACATTTTTTTAAACAGTATATCTTATTCCGATTACGATGATGTAACACACTTTATATTTGAGTCCGCTCGTTCTTGACAAATCGGCAAAAATAAGAAATTTTTGTATAATTTCAAACACTGACTGCAACAACAATAATTATTTACAAATTAAAGTAGAACAAAAACACTAAAAATTACAAAACTCATTAAAGTACAAAATTCTTTAACTATTCTAAATACTGCTGTATGTGACCACCATTTTCCCGAACGTATTTCCCATACACTCTAATTGTATGATGTTTTGCATTTAGTAACGTTTCCGGATTGTCTCTTAATTGATTGATCGCCTCTGAAATACTTTTGCCGAAGTTCCACGGCATTATTGCAAGGAGTTCTGTGCACGTGATTTTTGATGTGTCCCCAAAAGAAAAAATCCATTAACGTTAAGTCGGGGCTGGTGGCTGTCCAATCCATAGTTCCGCCGTTCCCTATCCATCCTCTGGGATTTTCCACGTTAATTTTAACTTGCACAACATTCTCTTGCTGCCATATAACCAACGCTGATATATTCAGGGGTAAATCTTCTATATATTATTTTTGTTATTCTTTTGATCTATAAATATGCCCGTCTATGACACGACACACTGTTGGTACCACTGGGTTTTTATTTCGTGTATTTGTCTAGGATTCTTTAAAAACCAATATTCTGGATTTTGTCTAATAGGGTAAATGTGGGAGAGATGCCGCACATTTTTATAGATTTTCATAACTGTTACACCTATCGAGATAAAATAAAATTAAAAACACATGTTTACTTTTAGAACATTTATTTAAAAGTAAATATGTAACAAAACCAATTTAAATAAAACAGTATTCTAAGAAAATATATTTTATAATCCCAT